AATAGATTGAAAACTTGAATGAGACAGGCTAGAGACTAGGATTGAGGATGGAAAAATCGTCGAAAAGTGCATTTTTTAGATTCGAAAGAGCCGGACTGAACATGTTTCTGTAGTAATGTCCAAGACAGATTAATTTTAGTCACTCAGCCTGAAGCGTGTTTTTTTCAAGACCAGGTTACGAGTATTGAAGAAAATTTGCATATAAAAATTATAAAACAGGTTGTTGGACAGAAATAGTCAGTTATGAATACTCTATTGCAATTCTAATTCAGATAAAAAAATAACCGAATTCAAAATTTATCATTACGGGTTCAATACATAAGTACATGTACAATTGGGTAATGTATCCTCAGATCTGAATAATACCAATGGCAGTAATATAAAGCTATACCGATAATGATGAATTCAGCCATCAAGCTTCCACGTTTACGTGATTTTCAATAATGTCTTGAACTTCGTGATACATTTGATTCTATGAGAAATTTTTTGAAAAAAATATTTACAAGTAAATTGCCACGAATATAGATGGAAACGACTGAAATAAATCCAACGAAACCATTTATTCCACGGAGGTGTCCCTTCCTGAGGTTCCACCAACCCATCTGGTGTCATCAGTGAATGATTTAAACTATTCAAAGGGAGTCCTGAACCAACTCATCTTACTGCTGATATATAATGCGTTGTCTAGATTGGGACTTTTGTCTCATTTCATAGTTTTTATTTTATACCAACTGTTAATATTCGTAGACTTTTGAAAGTATAAAGAAGTCAAGTGTCATGTACTGATCTCAATTCCAAGCAATATTTCCTTGTGGCCATTTTTGAAGTCTAGACCCCTGGAGTTTTTTGGGCTATGAAAGCTGATATGTGCCGAGATTATTGTGAATTTGATCATTCAAAGGAACAATAAACTTTGACTCATCGTCCTTTGATAGTCGATGATTTACGAAGTCCCTCTTCTAAATTTACGTTTCCTAATTAAATTATAAACTATGTTTGAAATACACCCTTTGCTTTCAGTTATGCCCATGGAAAGTGTCTCGCCTTCTTTATTGTAGACAGTGATGGAAATCACAAAAAATAAAATTATTTTGCGGATTTGTTGTCCGCAGCGATGAGGCAACGGTCGAAGTGCTCTAATTAATTGTTGCTGAAACTTCGAGATATAACTTTCATTCTCACAGTCAAGGCACATACCACTGATGATGGCTACCGCAGTAGCAGACGAAACGTTTGGTACTGCAGGTTCCTTTCGACCACTGCCTATCGGCCCAGATTTTGTTCTCTTTAATCATGACTTCAGCCTATCTTCTCATATACTCGTATTGCTTTGGTTGTCCTCACAGCAGATACTACACACAATTCAAGGTTTGGTCTCCTTCCATTGGTGGTTGGCGTGGCCTCGTTCGTTTTGGTTGAATTGAATGACCCAATACAAGAGCAATTATGTGCAGGTCACCAGATTCTATTGATGTTAATTCCTTCCACATTTTGGATTCGAATAAGTACATACTAAGACGTATGGCACCAATTACTGACTACCTAGAGAGCGGTGCAGTTAATTCTATTGCTATGTGAGGATGTCACTAATATCCAATAATTCACTGGAAACGATTCAACGAGAAGGTAGCATATTTTCTTCTTTTCGACATTCAGTATCTCGCTTCCTATGAAGAAAATGGGTCACTACAATTTGGAATATGATCACATTATATGAAACAAGTATTATTTGCTGTATTTCTTGAATTTTTTGGTATATTTTCTCTGCACCTTATTTTCAACGTGCTAGAAATTGCACGTTAAAAGATTAGACCTCGTTAATCCTCAGCTCCTTTAATAACAGATTATAACGAATTTTATGGCACACTGGTAAAAAAATTTCCACCGGTACCGGTGGCAATTTAATTACCGCCCATATTAGCGAGAAATTACTTTCGTGTGTGATCTCACATTCCAAACGAAATATTATTTTGTAATTCTACCCCGAAGACAAGTGTGGAATTTTTCAGTGTAATTTTTCATTTTGAGTGTACTTTTGTGTTGAAATAAAACTTTATAGGGTAAATTTGCGATATAAATTTATATCGAGATATTACACTCTTCACAGAATTTTACAGTAGAATTTTACACTTTTATATAATTTCACAGTGGAATTCTATAGTCTNATTTTACATTCGATAAAGAGATGGCGAAAATTTACATTTCACTAAGGGGGAATACCCATCGTCCAGTTAGTAATTCTCTCCACATGAAATAATACGTTATGATTTCACACATATATTAGATGAATATTTAATACTCAATGAAAAGTATATTGCCTACTGAAATTACGCTCGGGGATGTGAATTATTCAATAGAGAGAGTATATTTTCAATAAAATTGAAGTAGTTTTCTTCGTTCGAAATGAAAATTCCGAGGTAAATTTCAATCATTTTTCCCGGTGCAAGGTAGAAAGAGACTGATATCAGTTCCTTCATGTATTTGAGTATCCAAAGAAACTATTACGGAGAAAACGAAGTTGTATCTTCACCTCTGACAAATAACCTGCATTATAACCAGTCTTTGTAAGGGGTATTCAGCAAGTAAATTGGTTTGTTTATGAATTCTGCTCTTCCCTTTGTAGCTCAAACGGATTATATGTTAAAAATATTCCTTATATTTTATTTCTTCTTCTTATGTTCTACAAAGTCTTTCTAGTTAATTCGTTGGCGAATTGAAAAATACCACAAAGGATTTGCTCCTGAATAATTTCCCTGAAGAGGATTATTATTTACACGAAAGGCGATGAAATTTGCTGCAATACCCGTAACCGTAACTCTCTAAATAACTTCAGTAGTAGGGTTAGTTGATTGAATCATCACAAGATTTCCATCAGAATGCTTCATTCGTCTGTCATTCGTTCTTCATTTAGAGACTTTGACTTGCTCAGTTTATGACATACGATTATCTGCATACACATTTTTTCGATTTCTATCAATAATTTGATGTGCAATGAGAATTTCTGCATAAGTATGTTTCTTAAATTCCACTAAGGAATCATGAAATGATCACTTCTGAAGGATACAGCCATTAATAAATTAATCATTATATTCAAGAGTCTTCAGAGAAAGTGGCAACAACCAACCACAGTGTTACTCAAAATACTGCCTTGCAATACATCAGATTGATTGATATTTTGACAAGCGATAAAACCATTTTCAATAATAATTGATTTTTTTAGTCATCAATTTACAATTTGACTTTTCAGTCCAATGGTTTTTAAAAGTTACAAAACTTTTTCAAGGGTGTTATTTTTCTATGAGCTTCAACATTTTATTTGATCGGATAGACCACATCTATTATGATGAATATATTTCTGGTAGAGACTTGCTAAATGTTTTGGTGGTACTATAATAGTTTTTTTTTCAAGTTTCATAAATTTGATTAGCTGCCTCTCAATCAAAGAACTTTGTATATTTGTGAATAAAACAAGACACTTCATAAATATAGATTGAAGTCATCGATAAGTTTGCAAATACTTCTCGACCTGAATCAAAAGAATTCAGTATAGAACATGAAGTGCTCTTTCTTGTAGGATAAAATGCATTATGTCATATTTCAAGCTATAATGAAAAAATCCGAAATATAAAATACCATCGAATATATNCCGCAATACAACTTCTGTGAGTATTTCTCTAAGTATTTTGACTCACAATTCAACAGCTATAAACATTTGGGTTTACAATTTTGATAGACTACTTTTTGAGACACTTGTTCACGAATTGGTGGCAAAATTTCAATAATTTGAATTGGGTACATACACCAAACCCTCAAAAGGTGATCGTATGGGGCTGGTTTTTAAAAAAATTATCCTCGGGGTCTTTTTTTACCAGAAATGTGATGCATGATATATATCTGGATTTACTCCCAATCGACACAGCGCCTATTTTATTATAGCAAATGATCTTGCTACATTGAAAACAAAATGTTTCAATAAGACGATGTTTCTCCAGATCACTCACGAAAGATGAGTAATTATTCAATAGACAGGTTTTGACGTCGCTGGATAGAACGATGGGGTACAATTAAGTGTTCTTCCGGGTCACCTGACTTGAGTTCTTCGGATTTTATAGTGAGACACATGAAAACGAAGGGTATCACACTCCACCTGAGTCACTGAAAACCTGCGAGGACGAATCATTAATTTATATATGTCACAAAGTAATACCTCGCAAATGCTTCGAAATAGAAGAAAACGGTTTATAAACAGCACATTGTATGGAAAGCCTGATGTTTGATGATTGACGGACATTTTCAACAATTGAAATCCATGAAATTTTAGGATTTCTCCAGAAAACGTATCGTTGGCATTTCAAAGCTCCATATCTTCTAAACAAGTGACAATCGAAATCCATTTTCAATGAGGTATCACTCGTACCCCAGTCTCATTGAAAAATTTGGGAAATGACACTTTCGCCTAAAGGATTGAAGTTTTGCAATTTTTTCAGGTCAAGAACTTGAACTTTTTTTCTGGGCATTAATACCTGCGGTATGTTTTCGAAGGCCCACTATGGAAAAGAAACTGAAATAAATAAATGTCGAATCAATCTTTTCTGTAGTCTTGCTGAATTATGTCATTTCTGATGGTCGACAATACTAGTGTACAATAAATAGAAATTTTAGGTTAGGTACAGGCGACCGACAGTAAAGCGTTGAGCGATTTCAAGTGGACTGACCAGCCATGCGGTCAGCGCATCGACCGTCATCCTGTGGTGTAACGCGTAACCGCGTCCCTGGTTCACCTGCGGTCCTGCGATACTGGCACCAGCACCAGGCAGCGCAAACGAAAATCATCGCCTTCACCCCACGCGTCTTAGTTACCCGTTACCAGCTGACTTCGTTCTTCGGCGTAAATACCGACGGACAGCGGCATTGGTCGCCGGCGGTGACGTCACGTCGCCATATCGACCAATGCACAGCCGACTGAGGTAGCGCTGGATCATCTCGACTTGGCACGAGTTAGGAGTCCTGCGTCCTGCTCTGCTACTCGGGTAGTTCTATCGCGTGGTGCGCGTCGTTCAATCCCCAGCAGTTGCAACTCGACGTTCTCACACTCGCAGTACGATCTCACGACGTTCTACTTGTGGGCCGTTTAATCTGCCGTCGCTGGCGCGATTTAATTATTACGTTGGTGTCACAGTTCTCTCGAATAATCGGAGCCGTTTCCGTGAAGTTATGTGATTTGGAATACGAGTCTATTATACCTGGTGAGTACTTCCAGACATTCCTAGAAAGATTTGTCAGCTGGATTGAAAACGTGCTTGTGAGAGTCGCCGAAGACCATGTTGGAAGTCGGGTTAAGCTAGAGGCTGCTAGAAAAACTCTTGCTCAAAGTCCTGGACCGTATTTCTCATTCGATTCGCTGTGTGATGTAGTTACTTGCGACATTGTGACTTGGACACAAGTAGCCATCAGTTACTCCATACTTCAACCGTTGGACTTGTTAAATATAACTTGTGTTTGGGAGGTGATCGGTTCAGTTCCTGTGTTCGTTCAACCGCTTCATCAATCGAATTAATTGTGTGGAAGTGGAAATACATTTATAACCAGTTCTACTATTTTTAAATTAAAAACAAACATAACATCGTGCAATGTTTGTTACTATATTTAGTAACAATGGTTTTTATCGACTTCTTAAAAATAGTATGTAGTATTTCTATTTTTAACGAAATTGATTCTGTCTTCTTTTTTCATGAGATTATGATAAGGAAACGAGATTGGGCAACGGCGCGTTAGATATTGTGATTTTTTTCTATTATGTAACGTAAACACGATTATGGACATGATAAGACTCCGACAAATAAATATTCGAATATTGGAAGTGTGTTGTTATCTCTTTCGAACAATTTATGTACATTCTGTTAGCTGTTTCGTGTTTCAATTTGCATTAAAAAAAAAATATGTGCTGCCCTCAAGTTGTAACCTAGGTAGTTTTTGTTGGAAATTTTCCTCAGGTTGAACTTTTTTTTACTGTTTGGCCCTCAGTCTAATTTCCCCACCAAAACAAGATGTAGAAGATGTGTAAAACAAATATGACAATCGCTTCAAAGTATTCTGAATCGAGTATTTAATTTAAAAACTCGTTGAAAATGGATGAAACAGATTCTATTTGTCCTCTCCAGTCATTAAGTTTTCATAAAGATTGAGTGAATCGTCTTTAGGTTATCTAAAAAAGTGCCGATGAGGAGTTGAAAATTTACGCGAAACTTCGAAGTACACCTGAAGATTGAAAGTTTTCCATGTAAGAGAAATTTTATATCAATTTTCTTTCATATTTATATTACGTCGTATACCGTTCCGGTGTATGTTATCTGTTTCAGTTTCATTTCGGATGTTTGATGTACGAACTGAGTTAGAAAAAAGCCACTCCCATGCCATCCAATTCGAAAGGATCTGAAAGGCACTATTGTGATTTTTTTCTTTTCTTGGGGAGTTCCCCAGTCTCTATATACTCATAGTAGAAAGTCAAAACGGTTTTCTTTCAATTAATTTTTCAATGTTTTCATATAAATGATTTTGCTAGCTATTTGGTATTTTTGCGGTATCTGGCAACGATCTGTAAAACAAATTATTCATCAGTTTCATCTTTTGTGAGTCTATTAATATAGTGTTCCAGAAGAGGCTTCACTCTTTCTGCTACATCATTCTCAATGACTAATTTCTCAAATTTTTCTTTTGCATTTCTGTAACCAAAATCAACCTTGATGAAAAATTTTCATCAAGTAAATCGATAATGATGAAAAATTATTTCAGAAGTCCAAAAATCGATGTTTGTTAAGGATTGGATTGTATTTATTTTTTCAGTTGATTATTTCCATCAATTATGCCCGTTTCCAGCATTATTTAATTCAAACCATATTTTTCTCAACCACTGTTGTTAAATCGATACCAGAATAGGTAAAGCTACTATACTTCCAACCACATAGACTTGAAATTTTTCACGAGACCACTATTAGTTTCTGGATCAATTTTCGGTATTTCATCATCTCAAAATAGGCTCAAACAGTTGGGCAAGAAAAATACTTATTTTTCTTAGAGGACTTCTTTTTCTATATGATAACATTTATTCTTATGGCTTTCCTTGAATGTTGGAACAGATATAAAGTGTGGTTGCTACTGTAACTGTTGTTGCTGCTGATATTTGCTGAGTGATGATAGAAGAACTATGAATATCACCAGCACTACTATTTTGGGCTTTTGATGTCAATTCAATCATCAGGTTTTGACATCCTTACATTTCCATCAAAATTTTTTTGGTCCTTAATTTCCAGAGAAATAGTGAAACAAATGTCTACCTACGTATTTTCTTAATTTGTTTATTTAGTATGGTTTCTTGGTTATTGCTCAACAAATTAATAATAAGCTTTTTGTCATAAAGGTTTTTCTTGATAGGAAACAAAAGAAACATTTGATAGGAAATTTTTCATATACATTACACAAGAAAGTGTAACCCTACTGTTCCTCATTCTATGAAAGTAGTAAAAACCTATTACCGTGATATTGAAATCAATATCTCTGAAAAATGGATAAATTAAATATTCATAGAGATATAACATATCAAAGAGAAAGTTTAATTGGGCATGTGCTAACATGTATAAAGCAAAGCATAGACACGTTTTTTGATCCAGTTGACCGTTACCAGTATGGTGTAGCCGAGAATGGCCAACACTTGGTTACAAGAGGAATCACAAATACACGAAATCATCAACATACAAGTATTAACCACATATGTGGTTTTGCAGAGATGTTTAACTGGTTTCTGCTGATAGCTTTCTTCGTTTATGCTTCTGCAATCACATATTCCAAATCTTCACGCTGGAATCTTAAAAGAGAGATATGACATGTATGGACATATATTTCAAATGGAACACTTTACAAAAATAAGGTATAATCCAGCCTTCTTATAAATAATAATGATTTTTGTGAATGAAACATTAAAAACTCCTTTGTTATAATAGCAGAACATTGCACTTTCGTAATCAGAAAATGTTTATTGTGCTATAACATCTTTATCTCTTACGTACGTTACGCAATTCAAGTAAATGTCTATTTTTCTTAGACCAATTCAATGACATTCTAACATTGTCATTGCCGTGGTCAAACTGTGTGTTTTCTCAATGATTATTCAATACAAGTGGCCTGAAAAGGCAACGAAACAACGAAAATTTCCAATTAAAATTAATTGTGCTCGCTATGTTATTCCAAATTTAATGATTTACTGATACCTGATCAGTATGTTGTGCGATACCAGTATTAATGGTTACAAGATATAAAAATTGTAGATTCAACGAAATATTGTTTGTTGAATGAGAAATGCGATATATTCAATGGATTAAGAATATTTTACGTTTTTCATTTTTAAAAATTGAATAGGTATACCTAGTTTTTTACTTTGTAATCTAACAATTTATAAGCTAAGGTAAAAAATACATTGTAAATTAATGAATTTGGAGATGCATAGGCAGCACGAAATTATCAATTATCAAGAAACAAGTGAATGTGCTTCTATTGATTTATGGTCTGTTGCGGAGAGAGAGATCAGTTCAGTATAAATCTCGACAGCGTTAATAAGGGATAGATAACAAGTAAGGAGTCTTATCTTATAATTTCTGAGTATTTGAATGAAATCGTTAATTATCAAGAACATTATCAAGATGCCTAGGGAACGCCAACGTTAATGAAAAAAATTGCAATAGGGAGCTACAGTTGCACACATGTAAGAGATGATCTTCTAATCATCTGAGAAGTCATAATCAAAAATCAACAGACAAAAAAGTCAAATGAATATGCAGTTCCGTTAGTAAATCTTCATATGAAACAGGGTGAAGTACTATGGATTGCGCTATCAAAATGATGGGTGATATCTATTTAAAAAAAATCTGTTTTTCCGTTAATCATCTGTCTCCCCCATACGAACGACAACTCTCAGAAGTTGACAAACTTGTGGGAGCTAAGGACTAATGAGGTCTTACCTTTTAACGTGTGATTCCTAACACGGTGATATGAAAAAGGTCACTCTTGATCACCACCATAACGATGGTAGACCGCAGAACAGCAGATTTTTTCATCATACCAATAAATACAAAAGTATATAATAGGAGTACAATATAAACTCGATGATGGATACCAAAACCATTGGGTATAAAACTACAGAAATTATTATTTTCAGGTTGGTCAGGTAGCCGGTAGTTTAACGCGAGTAGTTCGATCTGCTCATTAGAACCGCTACTTTCTGAACGTTGCTCCAAATACAACTGGATTGATCAGGTTCCACTGAATGTAGTCTGAACCGTGTCGCACGTTGAATAATAAAAACTCGTTAATCCTTAGCTCGCACAATTTTGAATTTCTGAGGTTACAATCCTATAAATTATATTTACTGTTCTATTATTTTTGTTTTTGACTCTATAGACTATAGATAGATAGATAGAAATATAGATGGATATACTTTATTGACCAAGAATAAATTCTCATTGACTAAGTGCAATGAAAAATATTAATATATATATAACAGTAAGTGATGAATATGTCAAACATATTTGTCAAACCTTGCATGTTCACTATAAATACACATATTAGTCTGAAATAAAAACAAGAACATAAGTGTAATAATAATAACATAATCGATAATATATAAGGTCTGTTCTGGTTCTTCATCTGGACTGTTTTTAACAGTAATAAAACAGTCGTCCAACTGGATACTGAACATCATCTGGCGTAGATCATTTCAGTCTAAAACTGACTAACTGATATTGAACGATCCGGAACTGTTCAAACTGAAAACCAGAGTAGACCTATATTGTAAAGCTTATCTTGACAGAATACTGAGAATATTTACAATTTGTCATGATATTCCTGCAGGCTATAATAAGCTTTCATGAGCAGTATATTTTTGACCGACTACCTGAAACGTCTCTGCTCTGTTATATCCCTAACTACCCGTGCTAATTAGTTGAACATTTTTTTCCTTTGTACATGTTATAGTGTTTTGTTAGAGTCAATCTGGGTAATGGCAGATGGATATTATTCCTACTGTTCTGTCTACAACTATCCATATAATTTGGCCTACATAAAAACCACAAAGATTTCTTTTGCAACATGAAGACCTGACTAATCAGTTCTTGTCAGATTGAAATGTTTCGGAGATTGGGTTTTCTGATTTTGAATTTTTTTAAATCATCGTAAGAGAGATCATCAAAAAAGTACA